ATTTCCAGATCCATGGAGGGAATATGTTCCTGGAGTTTGTGTGAATACACAATATGGTGAATAATAGCTAACTCTATTGAAGTAAAGGATGTCTGGCCCAGGAATCCCATAGGGTCACAGTGGAGAACCTGGAAAGTACTTAGAGAGAACATGTCAGACATGGATCAGTAGAACAATCAACACCAGTTCCATGGACACAAGGGTCATACTGTTCAAGTTAGTAATAAAGTACTGCACTTATTGATGTATATGTATAGTTCCCAAATCCATGTATTTCAGATAGAAATGGCGTTTGCTGAGTTCCAGCACATTGATGGCTGATCAGATTCAAGTGCTGTCACTGTACCAGGTTTCCCTGTGTAGACACGAAACTTTATTTCTAGGTCTACACAAGTGTAACATGTGAAGCAGGATCTGTAGTCGGAAACATGTTTGTAGGTTTGATGCTGGTGTACATTGATTAATTGTTAATTGTTAACAACTGATTTAAAGTACATGTAACTGTTTTTAGTGTTTGTGTATATTGATAGTTATTTTATGTTCCGGCATGGAATGCTTGCCGTTTATATGCTCCTCTCCACTCTGAGTCCCCTTCAGGGTGAGAAGGGTGGAACATAAATGGTTTAAAATAAATAAATAAACAATACTATTCTTACAGACAGCTGTGATTATTTTCCATTTGAATATCCATTTACCTCTTACATCTAGAATACAAACCTTATGTATCGGGTATATCAGGTTCCAATAAAAATAATTATCCTTGGAGTTTGGGGGAGTCTCTGAGGAAATTAAACATGCCTTCAGTGTATTCGTAAGGAGTCCTGCCAAACTATAGGAACATAATCAAAATTATTCTGGGTATGAGCAACCCTTTGAGCTCTGGGGTGATTAATGGGGTTCAATGGCATTTTTACTGCATTTTCAGAAATCGGTGAGTCCAGTCTGAAAGACAATAGCCTTCCAATTGTGTATATAAAAATTGAATCATAAATTCCCTCTCCAAGCTACAAGAACATAAAATGACCCATGAAGATAGTACATATTTGTGTATATATTTTGAAAAAACCATTTGATCTCTTCTTTGTTCACTGTCATTTCTTTAAATTTAATTTAATTTTCAATTCTATTTTGTCTTGCAATCTTTAAAAGCCTGCTTGAAACACGCTTCTGAAACATGCCGACATATGCTAATGATATTTTTGCATTTTCGATAGAGTACCTTGAACATTCTCATCTTGCTGTTTAGTATTAATCAGAATAATGCTCATGTGATATTGTGATTGTTACAATTATTTTTCAGGTTATGTTTTTTAGTACACAAATTCATTTCATTTATGCTCCAGCTGGAAAACAGGAAAGACTTTCAGAGTGACAGATAGTAGCAAAAGAGAAGTAAGAAGGTAGCACCTCTCTTACAGCTTATGTAGAAAAGGTAAATGGGAAATGAAAAAGAAGACAAAACTGAAGTACATGTTCTTAATGTTGTTCTTAATGTTATATTTCCTCAGTCAGGTAAAATGGCTGATGGATGTCCGGTAGGGAGAAGCAAAGCCAACAGGTCTAGCTTTCCAGAGATCAGATGGGGGAACCTGCTTTCTTTCTCTATCTTTTCTAAAATTGTAGAATGTCTGTTGGATGAAAGTCGTATAGAAACAAAAATGCATTCTTGGGAACACTGGTGATTTCTCACTTTTTTATATTATATTGTGTTCATTTTTTTAAAAAAAAATCATGAACACAAACTTCCTAAGTGTGTTGATAGAAATCCTTTTGTTGGTGAATACATGAGCATGGTCTGTTGGAAAATACTGTTAGACATGTAAAAAGGACTTGGGTTCAAATCATAATAAAGATTAAATTTTCTTGAATACTTTCAACAAGTTACTATCTCTTAACTTCTGTTCTTCATTTATAAAATGAGAATGTTGTGAAGCTTATGGAACAAATGAGAGAAGACTTATATAAGCTGTTGTTATTGTTAGGAATGTCATTTCCTAATCTGTTCTATCATAAAACATGAGAAAAGTTTATTAAACTGCAAAAACATTGTTTTTGCTGGACATTCTGCTGCATATTTCATCGCTGAGCCTGGATCCCCAGGTGTCAGCGGTGACCAGGGGAGCATTTGCACAGCTTAGGCTCGTGCGCCAGCTGCGCCCGTATCTCGGGAAGTCTGACTTGGCCACGGTGGTACACGCTCTGGTCACATCCCGCCTTGACTACTGCAACGCTCTCTACGTGGGGCTGCCCTTGAAGACGGCCAGGAAGCTTCAGCTAGTTCAGCGCGCGGCAGCCATGTTACTTAACTGGAGTGGGGGGCAGGGAGCATACAACGCCCTTGTTGTCCCAGCTCCACTGGCTGCCGATTTGCTACCGGACCCAATTTAAGGTGCTGGTTTTGGCCTACAAAGCCCTAAACGGTTCCGGCCCAAAATACCTTTCTGACCGCATCTTGGCCTACGAGCCCACGAGGACCTTGAGATCGTCTGGGGAGGCCCTTCTCTCGATCCCGCCTGCATCACAGGCACGGCTGGCGGGGACGAGGGAGAGGGCCTTCTCGGTGGTGGCCCCCCGGCTGTGGAACACTCTCCCTGCAGACATCAGACAGGCGCCTTCCCTCATGTCCTTCCGAAAAAGCCTCAAGACCTGGCTGTTCGAGAGGGCATTTAATTAAGTGCTATAATAATGTGGTAAAGATGATTGGAATGGAATAAGGAATATGAGATTGGTTATGATTCCACTATGAGACGAAGCGGACTTTTAGTGTAGTTTTGTAATTGTTATGTAGTTTATAGGTTGTGTAATTGCCTTTTGTAAATTGTCTTTTATATGTGTGTACACCGCCATGAGTCGCCCTAAAGGGCTGAGAATGGCGGTTAATAAATGCATCAAATAAATAAAATAAATAAATATTTTGCTATAGTTTTTTATAATGAATATCTCATTGAGTCTAAACAAATTCAACATAGTTTGTGGCAGCCACAAAAGTATAACTACTTTCAAAGTAAGTACTTCACAATTAAACTGGAACTAACACTTTCAAACTAGGTACAGAAAAGTTTCCAAATTTTGTTACATAGTGTTATTTTTATGCTTTTATATGTAACCACTGGGAGAGATCATCAGGAGGCATGGAACAAGGTGCTATCAGTATTCTGATGATCATGTGCTGGTAATCCAAATATCAGCTAAGGATAGTGTGTCTCTTCTAAATGAATGCCTGGATGAGGTAATGGGCTGAATGGAGAAAAACAGATTGACACTGAATCTAGACCGGACAGAGGTTCTTCCCATTAAGGGTCCCAACCTAGGGATGGAGGTGTGTCAACCAGTTCTGAACAGGGTTGCACTCCCCCTGAATGACTGTGTTCACGTATTGGGAGTGCTCCTGGATCTGTCTCTTCAAAATGTCAGCCGAGATAGATGTGACAGTCAGGAGTGCCTACTATTAGCATTTGCTGATCCGCCAACTCTGCCCCTTCCTAAAATTGGAAGGTCTAAAGATGGTACTGCATGCGCTGTTAACCTCAAGGTTGAACGTCTGCAATGCACATTACATTGGGCTACCTCTGTACCAAGTTCAGAAACTTCAGTTAGTTCGAAAAACAGCAGGTAGACTAGTTACAGGAATGTCTAGGAGTGAGCATATTACTACTATTCTGACGTTATTCCAGTGGTTGCCAGTTAGTTTCCAGGCAGAGTACAAAGTGTTGGTTTTGATCTTTAAAGCCCCATATGGTTTTGGTCCAGGTTACTTACAGGATTGCCTTCCCCTATGTGATGTCAGTAAAATTCAGCCTCAATGCAACTGCAATGAGGCACGCAATGAAAACAGAGTGCACAGTCCTTCGTCAACTTCAAATCCTTGAAGTGGTACTTTATTTAGTTACTTTCTAAAACTACAGAAAATAATAAACAAAACTATTTACAGGAGAAATCACACACAAGTCTTGCTCGTTCCCCAGCATGGCTGGAAGAGAATGCCCAGCAGTCCATTATCTCAAATCCACATCATTGGATTGTGTGACGTATACAGGAAATGTTCACAGTTCATGCTCTAGGCCAGGGGTCCTCAAAGTAAGGCCCGGCGGCCGGATACGGCCCTCCAAGGTCATTTACCCGGCTCTCGCTCAGAATCAACCTAAGTCTGAAATGACTTGAAAGCACATCATCAACAACAACAACCCTATCTCATCAGCCAAAAGCAGGTCCACACTTCCCATTGAAATACTAATAAGTTTCTATCTGTTAAAATTGTTCTTCATTTTAATTATTATATTGTTTTTAAGAATGTTTTGCAATACAAATAAGATATGTGCAGTGTGCATAGGAATTCATTCATGTTTTTTTCACATTACAATCTGGCCCTCCAGCTGTTTGAGGGACTGTGACCTGGCCCTCTCTTTAAAAAGTTTGAGGACCCCTGCTCTAGGCAATAAATCACATCTATGCTTTTAACGCTTGTATAGCATTACATAGCATGCCGTCCTTCACCGGACACAGACAGAGTTCTTAAAACTATAAACTATATTTCACCCTAGTAAAACCATAGTACTGACATGTAATCTACCCCGTACACTTCGGTCTTCAGTCAACCAGAAGCCGACTGGCAACCATCATCTAGAGGATACTTTCATCGGCCACCCCAAGACTGTGGAATGACTTACCAGAGGAGCTCTGACACCTCAATGAGCTGTTGGAATTTAAGAAACGGTTGAAGACCTATCTCTTGTTGCAGGCCTACCCAGTCAGTTCTTTACTATGAAACTCATGTTCTGTGTTTACTATATTTTACTTTATTCTGTGTATTTTAATATATGTATTTCATAGAAATGCATTTTAATACATGTATTTTATGTAATGTTTTATGAAGTGTTTTAACTACATTTGTCCTCCCTCGAGCCACAAGGAGAGATGAGTAAGAAATAATAATAATAATAATAATAATAAGCATAATAATAATAAGCATAATAATAATAAGCATAATTGCTTCTTTTCAGGAACATCCATTACTTGGACAGCCTTTCTTTGTACTTCATCCTTGCCGAACAAATCAATTTATGTCATCAGTATTATCAAGTTCACATAAACAAAACAGGTAACTTGTATGAGTTCGAAATATTAGACTTACATGATTGTTATATCCACCCTACATTAATGTGAAAAATATTAATGAATGTCTACATCTATTTCAGGTGACTAGCTACTCCTAAAAGATGCAACAAGTATATTGTAGTGAAGTCAGACAAATTCATATTAGAAATAAGATTCAGCTTCTTAAGCTTGTCTTACATGTCATAGTATATAGCAAACCTGAGAATACAGGTTTGCTATATACTAATACAGAATAGTTCAGGTGACTAGCTACTCCTAAAAGATGCAACAAGTATTTTGTAGTCAAGTCAAACAAATTCATATTGGAATTAAGATTCAGCTTCTTAAGCTTGTCTTACATGTCATTGTATATAGCAAACCTGAGAATACAGGGGACACTTCATTGGACATGCTAGGTATTTCTTAAATGTTATCTTGGGTGTTTTGCTATGCATCCTTAGCATCATCTTTATTTGCTTAATTCATTTGCTAATGATATTCAAACTCAAAAATATCTGTAGTTAAGAACTTTAAGGCCCATAGGATGGATATAGTTCTTGGAATAATTTTGTAAGATTCAAGTGATGATTATTTAAATCTGCACTTTTTGAAAAGTATTATCTGCATGGTTATTAAGATAGAAATAGGAAGAGAAAATAACAAAAAAAATCAGAAACAAAAGACAGAAAAATCAGAAACAAAAGATTACTTCTCAGTTACTTGGTATTCACTGGAGTTTGGTTCCAGGACCCTCTTTGAATACCAAAATCTGTGGAGGCTCAACACCAACTATATACAATGACATAGTGTAGTAGTGTCCCTTATATAAAATGACAAAATGAGATTTTACTTTTGGATTTTTTGGACAGGGTGAATATTTTCATTCCTTAAATGATTGACCTAGTAGCATCTAAGTTTTAAATATCACTTTGAAGGCCATTTTATCGCAATTATAATAGGTCTGTTTTTCTTGTATGTTTGTTTTGTAGGAGTACAAATTACATCATCTCATGGCTAAGTATTGTAGGCCCAGTGGTGGGTCTCAATCTGCCTTTGGATTATGCAAAAGCTGTTACTGAGCAAAGTTCAAGTGCTGATTAAAGAGGTAAAATATATCTTACTCCAAAATAAATTGTATCTTTTTCTTCCAATTGCTTAAAACACATTTTTGGTTGTTTCACAAGCAACAAAATACAACAGCATTGTAGTTTAATACTTTCATTTTAGTTTATTCATATGGACATACAATTGCTTATCCTTAAAATGCTTAAAAGTGGTTCCCTGAATTTCTTTTGCTCCTTTATTCTATGCCTTATTACACTGCTTCTTAAAACTATGGGTTCCAGCCCATAGCTCAATGTTAGCTTGAAAAAATTGGAAACATTTTCTGAATGTCACATAGTGAATGTTCTAGACATTTATGCCAATCTGTTGTGCAGTGCTTACAGGGGACTCTGCAGGGGACTCTGCACCACTGATCTAGTTGCTGTTGTGCAAAAATCTGTTCTCTGCAGCTAGGTCAGGCCAAGGAAAAAGGTCCAGTTAACTCCAGTCAAGAGATTGGGAATAGGTCACCAAGGTGGATCCTTCCACCAAGCTTTTTCATTCCCCCTGAGAAAATTCCTTCCATCCCCTTTAAATATGGCTGAGTGCTGTGTCAGCAGTGGCATTAACCCAAATTAGGGCTTTCACATAATATTACATGAGTGAGAAAATGTCCCTTTTTGTACTTTGTGACTTTCCTTAGGAAACACTGTTTTAGCTGCTGCATGAAGTATGAAGTGACTTGAAGACTGACTATATACTACTTTCAGAGATCCTTAAGCCTTTCACACACACATATATATAAATAAAACCCACACACACACTGAGCATTTTTTCTCTACTATGAAAGACTATATTGAAACTCTGCCAGTAACTTTGGCAGTGAGAGCTGAGAGCAAGGTCATAAAGTCAGGAGTGACTTGACTTAAGCAAGTTTAGTATGTATTTAACCCCTTGAGCTATTCTATTAAAGTTGACATCCATCTTATTTGAACTGTTTCCCACTATACATCTCAGTACTTTTTCATTGTTGTTGTTTCAGATTTGGTACAAGTGGCGGAGTCTAAAGGTGCCACTCTACTGCTGTAGCTCATCTCAGATATGAAGCTAAGGAAAATGTCATGTCTAACAAGCTGTTGCAGTCACGACAAGATGCTTCAGTGGAGATCACATTTCTCTGATACGTGTCTGAGGATAACCAAGCCGTGGATTCCGTTCTAATTGTAACAAGGATGATGCATTGTCCCACCAGGAAGAAAATGTCAGTTCAATTGATAGTTGGACTGATGTTAAGTGGAAAAAATATTCTTCCTCTAAACTGACAGAGTGATTTGGGAAAACTTGGGTGGAAAAATATTACCAAAGGAATTTGAAGCTTACAGTAATAATAAGAGTCTCTCTATCATTACTGCTATAGCTTATGAGGCCCCATGGAATGGGATTGGTTCTTTCAAGCTTTTCGCTTGCTCCTATTTTTGCTTAGCAGGATGAATTAGCAGCATTAATACAATAAAAAAATAAACAGATTGGTTTACACATTATTCTTGAGAATTTATAATATTTGTGTGGTTTTGATCCGCCTTGAGCCATGAGGAGAGGTATGTAAGAAATAACAATTATTATTATTATTATTATTATTATTATTACTATTATTATTATTATTATTATTATTTGAAACACAACAAGATTAGTACACAGCAAACAAGATCACTATGCTGACTGTTGTATTGGATCACATGTTGGACACTTCCTAGGTATCTAGGACTATGTGATGTATTGGCGAATAATGCGTGCAGATCCCAATAGGGTGACCTTTTGCAGCTGACAGATGATAATTTTGTCAGCGCCGATTGTATTTAAGTGCAGGCCAAGGTCTTTAGGCACTGTACCTGTGCTGATCGCCACTGGGACCACCTTGACTGGCTTATTCCAGAGTCTTTGTAGTTCAATCTTTAAATCCTCATATTGTGTCAGCTTTTCCAGTTGTTTCTCTTCAGCCCTGCTGTCACCTGCAATTGCAATGTGGACAATCTGTACTTGGTTTTTTTAACACAATCGTGAGGTCAGGAGTATTGTGCTCCAAAACTCTGTCAGTCTGAATTTGGAAGCCAGAGTAGTTTGACATGTTCATTTTCTATGACCTTTTGACGCATGTGATCCCACAAGTTCTTTGTCGCAGGCAGATGGTATTTGTGGCACAAGTTCCAATGAATTATCTCAGCAATGGTGTTATACCTCTGCTTGTAGTCTGTCTGCGTGATTTCCTTGCAGCAGTTGAGGATGTGATCTATTGTTTCATCTGCTTGCTTGCAGAGTATACACTTGGAATCTGTCATCGACTTTTCAATTTTGACTTTGATGGCTTGTTCTTGGGCTGCCAGAATCAGGCCCTCTGTCTCCTTTTTCAAAGTTCCATTTGTGAGCCACATCCATGTTCTTTCTTTGTCAATGTTGCTCTCTATTTCTATTATTATTATTATTATTATTATTATTATTATTATTATTATTATTATTTAGGATGAAACTACAACATTGATCTTCATATGGTACACACACGTGGCCTCTGTTAACATACAACAGCAAAATCACAGCACAGATGTATACAACAAGAGGAAATCACAGATAAAAAAGGAAAGCACACTTAAAAGTTGCTAATCTCAAGAATAAAATTTTCAACTATCTCACAAAATAATGTAATGGTCAATTTGATGGTCAATTTACCTGCATACATATTGAAAAACTACATTTTGCCATAGTTTACCATCTAGTATATACACAATGATAAACCTGTAGAGGTGTACACATGTGACATAAAGCCAAGTCTGTCTTGTTGCTTGTATCTTTCATGCAAAATCCTTTCCCCTCAGCCTGAATCCAGTGCTGGGAGTGAACCAGACTGGGAATAAAAATGCCTTTTGGAAAGATTCAGCTCCTCTCACACTTTTTCCCCACTTTTACCACTTTCTATTTAAGTATAAATAAAGGTGGTATGCAACGATTTTGGACTTAGCAAAATTCTGCATAAGATAAGCTGCTTCAGAAGTCCTTCAGCTTTAGTTAGAACTGTGTTACAGGCCCGATATTAGTCTCAATGTTACATCGGTATACTCTTTTGCATAGCTTGCACAATTTAAATATCTGTTAACAGTTACTTTTTTAGCTAAAAGATTAGCAAAAAGGTGACTGGATTTTAATTGTACTTGTTTCCTTCCCAATTGGGCAGTGCTGCATTATGGTCGCAATTTTATTGAGATGTGCCAGAACACAGATACATATATTACTCTCAGTCTGTCCTCCAACTTCAGTTAAAATAGTATTCACTGCAGCCAGACTGCATCAATCTGCATTTTGTTATTGGAATAGATGTCTGTTAATAGACTTAAGGATCATAAGAGTATTCCAGTGCTGTGTTGGTCAGATTAAAATTAAATTCACCAAAGCTCAGTAACAGTTAGAAGGAAACACATGCCAACAGCTTTCTTCATAATCTTAGAAAATACTTTAACTTCCTCTTGAGACAATTTTTAGTAGATTTCACTCATATGTTGGACTCTTGTGCCAATCTGGTTTGTGTATGATTAAGAATGGACTAAATCTTGTGTGAGTTAAGCATATGTAAACCCACTCAAATCAATGGACTTAAACATGCCTAACTCTGCATTGGATTTAAGCCTTTATCATAACTTTAGTAAGGTAGGTATTTCCTAATATTAAGTGGATTTCACAGGAATAATAATGATAAAAGCAGCATGATATAATATATTGTAATGTAATACCATGTCAGACAGGTTAAACTAAGCTTTTTTTCTAAACTAGGCTTTTATTTTATTTAAACTGTTTGCTAATAGAAACGAATGAAATGTTAAGTAAAACATTGAAAAAGTGTTAGATATTTTGCCATATATATATATATATATATATATATATATGATTTTCTATAGATTTTTTAATTACAGTTCAGATGCAGTGGATTATCTGAAGTATTTTTTTTAGGTAACACAGTTTTGGACATTTCTTTACAGCAAGGGAGGACTGCCGCTGGAAGGGAAACACTTTTACATTTCAGACTCCACCATAAATCACATCTGCTTTTTCCCCCTCTTAAGCTTTCACACTACACAATTAAAGTGATATATTCTATTTTTACAAATCCCTTTCCTAGCGCTTAGCTATGCTATATATTCCTAAACCCTGGGGAATCATCATTGTCATTGGTGATCACTTATGTCCGAGTAAGATGGCCTTCCAACCGTAGAGTCTTGGTGGCAGATCCTTAGATGGCTATAGAGACCTGTTCTTTAGTCATATGTTCTTCCAAAGTGAGGACTTCCATTTCCAGATGGAAGGTGGTCCCAGTCAGGTTTGGCTTGATGAGCCATAGAGTTGGATTCATAGAGCCATCCAGTCCAACCCCCTGCCAAGAAGCAGATAACAGGAAAATTGCATTCAAAGCTTTTGACATGTTTTCCCTACTTAGCATGAATGAACAACAAAAAAGATAAAAGATGTTTTGCAGGGGGGCAAAGCAGCCTGTTTCGTGGGTTATACTAGCAGGTTAAAATAATAAGCATAATGTTCTGTAGAAAGTTATTTGAAAGGAAGTCTCAAATCTGTGAAATAAGGGTTTTCTTCCTATAACTGTTTACAGTTGGTACTTTTAAGAGCCACTTTTTAAAAGGATATAGCAGCCTCCCTGGTGGTGCAGAACCCCCTGGTGGCACAGTGGGTTAAACCGCTTAGCTGCTGAACTTGCTGACCGAATGGTTGGCAGTTTGAATCCGGGGAGTAGGGTAAGCTCCTGCTGTTAGGCCCAGCTTCTGCCCACCTAGCAGTTCAAAAACATGCAAATGTGAGTAGATCAATAGGTACTGCTCTGGCAGGAAGGTAACGGTGCTTCATGTAGTCATACTGGCCACATGACCTAGGAGGTATCTACAGACAACACTGGCTCTTCAGCTTAAAAATGGAGATGAGTGGTCAGACACAACTAGACTTAATGTCAGGGAAAACCTTTACCTTTACCTATAGCAGCTATTTACATCTTCTGTACAGAGAAAAAACATTTTAAAAAATACCTTTCAGCAGAAAGAAAACTGACATGTCAAGAAAGAAGTTATATTCCTCTGTTATATTAACTTTCTACATATGGCCATCACCCAGCAGATGTGTCTCCCGCACCTTTTAAAAATCTTGAACTTGTGTCTTATTCATATTGGTTCTGATATAAGAGTTACTTACAATAAGGGTGTATTTCTTCCAGTGGTTTAGTTTGCTGCTGCTTCTATTACTTTTGTGTAATATAATTCCAAGAGAAAATATTTTTGTTCTGTTATTTTCCAAATGACTCAATTTCAGACGCAGTCGACTGTATAAGGGATTCTGGAGGTAGCTGCTGTTTACTTTCTTATCTTTCAATAATTCTGCCCACATTAAAAAAGAGAAGATGGACAGTATGCTCCTCTCTACTGCAACTGAATGACAAAATTAAGATTTAGATGATGTGACAAGAAGTGGAGTCAGACACAGGGAAACATTCTCCAGGTAATTAGCTTTCTCCAATTCTTTCTGCCTACTTTGCAGAAACAGATCTGGAGGCAGACTTAATGTCATTATTACTATATTGTATTTGAATAACAGACAAAGATGGTCAGGAGACACAGAAGGGATAGTTTGAGTCTTGGGAAGGAATTAGCTACTCGAATATATAATACAAAGTTGCACAATAAGAATTTCAAAATTTGCATTGAAAGTAGTAGCCCTATGATATGTCCATTGCAGGGAAAAGTAAAACCCACAATATGTTCTACCTTGCATGGAAATCATGTAGCCCTCCACAAGTTTGATTGCACCTCCCTGCAACTCATGCCAACATTGTCAATGCTAAGGAATAGTGGAAGCATGGTTACCATTTTCCTATTTGTTGTGGGTTGCATGGTTCCCATCTTCCTACTTGCTGAAATTCTACCATGTGTTTCTAAGATAGACAAGAGCATTCAGACGGAAGAAATTAATAATCTAATTTTCCCCAACCTGTTCTGTAGGTCTATTATGATATCCTTGTACAATCAAATTAAATGTAAACTAAAGGGAAGAATTAGGGATAAATGACTGGTTTCATTATCATCAATTACAGGGTATATTTAGGAAATTTAGGAAATTCTACCATGCGTTTCTAAGATATTTAGGAAAGATCATAAAATTGGGTTTGCTAAAAAGAAATGGGAGTTGGAAAATATTTTGGGGAAAGAAAATAAAGGATTGATCTCCAGGTTATACAAGTATATCCTAGAATATAACTTGGAAGACAATTGAATAAAAATGGTCCAGAGACTTGTGGAAAAATATAGATTTGAATAATTGGGAATACTTATGGGAATAAGCATTTAAATTTTCAAGTGCTGGTTCTATCAGAGAAAACATGCATAAAATGTTGTATAGAAGTTATATAATTCCTGAATGAATGGCTGAAATCGATAAATTCCAAAGGGGGTAACGCTGGAGATACAAAACGCAGAAAGGTTCCTTCTATATTTTGTGAACC